TTTAGAATTTGGACACTAGAAGAAAAAAAAATGGCACTTTGATTTGGTCTTGGAGTCCTTGTCAATTGCTGATAGACCATTTCTCAAAAACAAGTAATTCCTCAGAATAATATTATAAATAAACATATTTTTAGTAATTTAAAACACAAAGACATAATATATAAAAAGATCTTTAAACTATTTAAGAAAATTCAAATAAGCTTTCATATTTTTATTACATTCAATCAAATCCTTATACTTTTATTTTAAACCAAATAAATCTTTGTAGTTTTTATATTGAGCTAAATAAGCCTTCATAACTAATGATTGATGTAGTTAAAATATCATTCATTATTCTATGTCATGTGACGCTGATTTAGTATGTTAAAATATTATAATTGATTATGATATGTCAGGATTGCATATCATAATTGATGATGACATAACTTACTGATTTAGTATGATAACATGATTATGTGATATTTTCACCATCTTTATCAATTTCCTATGTGCCATGTAGATATATAATGATAAGAGATATTTTTATTAATGATAATTAGTCAATTATTAGTCATAAGATTGATTTGATTCAAAATAAAAACTTAATTAAACACAATAAAAGAAAATGGCTAATTTAAATATTTTGAATAGTTTAAGGGTTTATTTGAGGATTATGTCAAAAATAAGTAATATTTTTATATTACTAAAATTTTTAAATAAATTTTTATTTTTATTTTAAATTAAATAAATTCTTAATGATTGATTGACTATGGTTAGTCAAAATAATACTTATTATAACATTACATTGATGTGGTATATTGACTTAACATAAGGGAAAGTGAGATTGTCATTTGATAATATCTATCATACTACATAACATATCATGTCATTATTTATTATGATAACTTAACATGAGACATCAATTAGGGGCAGAGCTACGAAACTTTTATTAGGGGCCAAAGATGGAAAAGGTATAAGAATTAAAATTTTTTAAAACTAACACATTGAATTTAAGAAATAATCAAAAGATTCATAATAGACAATAATTTTATATAGTATGTAAATCAAAAGAAATAAAAAAAAAACTTACAATAGTTTTATAAGTATCAAATTTTACTTGAAAAGCATCCATTTCTTCAAATTTGAGCTTAGTACGTTTTAATTCAAATTACTCTTTTTCATGATTTGAAGTATTAAAGTTTGATGGCTCAAATATAAAAAAATTATTTAAAACTGCACTTTAATCAAACTTGATTTTTTTTTTTTGAAAAGTGTTTTTATTGAACCTTTGATTGACCAAAGACTCCTAAACCACTTGAAAACTTATACAATTACACAAAAAAACCACTCTAAAAACTTGATGGTTGCACAAAAAAAACAAAAATGCCCAACAACAAAAAGAAGAGCAAGCACATTAGACCACTAACATAAAAAAAAAAAAAACTAAGATCATATCCGAATCAATAGGTAGTCAACATGCAATATTATTATTTTATTTTAAATTTAAAATATTAAATATAAAATTATAATATATAAAATAAAAATAATTAAATACGATATACAGGATTTTTCACAATGATTAAGTATATAAATAGTTAAATAATATAAATAGAAAAAAATAAAAGAAAACTTTACTTTTTCTTAATTTACACAATGATGGTGAGTAGTTTCCGTCATTCCTTGTCCAAGCTCATAAATTCATAAATTTTTATTTAAACAATGAAATGTATTTTAATAATAAGTTACAAAGAAAAGACTAAAGCAAAAAAAAAAGACAAAGAAAAAGGGAGATAGAGGTGTGAAGAAATTTAAATTAGGGTAAAATTACGTAGAGTTTATGAAGTCATTTTATTATTTTTTATTTATATTTATATAAAAATAAAAAATTTATTTTGAGGG